CACTGAATCATTTGAAAAACAAAGTATATCATCAAGATAAACATAACAAAATGGTAGACCCCTTAGGACCTTGTGCATAAAGCGCATGAAAGTTTGGGGTGCATTCAACTAAGCCAAAACACAGATGAGTATACTCATAGAGACCCCATGGAGTTGTCACTGCTGTTTTAGAAATGTCAGCGTCTGCAATAGGAATTTGGTGAAATGCTTTAAAGATGTCTACTTTTGAGAAAATGGATTTACCGTAGAGTGAATGAGCAAAGTCTTGAAGGTACGGAATTGGATAACTATCAAATTCAGTCACAGAATTCAGCTTGCGGTAATCTCCAACCGGAGGAACTGCAGAATCCTGCTTAGGGACGACATGCAATGGTGAACTCCATGGACTCTTGGAAGGACGAATTATACCTTCATCCAGGAGGAATTAGAACTCAGATTTCACTGCTTCGTGCAGCTTGGGATGGAGTAGTCTCGGTTTTGAAGTCACAGGTGGTCCACGGGTCAAGATATGATGCACTGTATTATGAGGAACAGTCTGCTTAATTAGAGTAGGATTTGTTACATCTGGAAACTCAGAAAGCAAGGAGTCATAATTTGAATTAACAGAAACAGTGACAATAGAAGGTTGGCTTTTGTAAGCAACATTGCCATAAGTAAACAGTGAAGTTTCAGGATTTATAAGACACTGCCATTTCAAATCAACAAGAAGATTAAAATGTTTCAAAAAATCTGCACTGATGATAGGAGAAGTTACATCAGCAAGCACAAATGTCCATGAGAAAGGTTTCCAGAGACCCAAGTCGACCTGTCTACGCACGAATCCATATGCAGGAATTTTATAATTGTTGGCAGCAAAAAGGGCAAATGTTTCACAACAGTTTCTCTTATCTTTAGGAGAAGGAGGTAACACTGAGATCTCACTACCAGAATCAATCAAAAATTTTTGGCCAGTCTTCTTGTCATGAAGAAATAATCGACTGGGCTTTTTGGATACTTCCGTCATCCTTGCTATGACGGGAGTTAAAAGGTTTTTTTGCTACTGGTACGCGCAAGGCTTAGCACATTTGCATGCCTTATCACCAAAACGGTTATGATAGAAACACACATTACTGGAAGTATTACCTTTTCTTGAGCGAGACGTTAAGTGACTCCGGAACCTAGTTGTCCTCCGATCATGTTCAGAAACAGAAACTTGGCATGTAAGTTCTTCAATCTGCCTGGCTAGGGTTTCAGTTGTGATGGCATTGGGATCCAAGGACGTTCCAGCTCCAGAAGTAGCACAGATTGCACTAGGTTGAACAACCTCAGCGACTTTATCAGCTATAATTGCTAGCTGATCAAGTGTTTCAGAAGAAGCAGACAGAACTGTTTGGATATGGGCTGGCATCCGTTGCATCCATAAAATTTGCAAAAAGTCATCATTAAGCTGTTTCCCAGAAAGCTCTTTCATTTTCCCATAGCAGAGACTGACTAGGCCGTTCATCCCCCAACTGGAAGTTCAGTGAGGAGTTTTTTTTTAATTTTCTGGTGTTCAGAATCTTCAAATTCACTGATGAGCCTCTCAGACAGTTTTTTATATTTGTCCGAGTCCGGAGGGTTTAGTACGATATCCGAGACCTGCGACAGAGTTTCCGCATCTATATTCGCTATAAGAGCAGAAAATTTCGTTTCATCACTTGTAATTCCGCTGTAAATGAAGGCATTGTCACATTGTGCGATCCACAATCGCACGTTAGCCTTCCAGAAAGGTGGAATGCGAAGTGCAACTTTCGCTACTCGGCTCTGCTGATTGGGTGGAGGCATCGCTAGTATGTGGAAATAGTTCCGGAGAGCAGAAACAAAATAATTGCAATTAGCCAGAAAGCGAAGTCGCCACAGTGGGATAGGCTTACCACAGCAAGGCTTAGCGAAGCATGTAACCAATTAACGTAACTTATTTTTCGTCTATAGGTCACCAATTACGGCAGGTTGCGTTCTGAATATTCACAAATAAATTACTTATTAAATTAATCACATTTATTCACAATTTACGTAGCGAAGAAAAAAAAGAACATTCTACAAAACATATCACGCTGCATTTTTATCGCTAGCGATAACAGCACACGCACGAGGAAAAACTAACTACAACAAATCAGTTCACTTCACTTGAGAGAAAAGTACAGAGTTTAGTTGCAGCACTGCTATACATGAAAATACAAACAGTTAATATTTAATTTAAAAGTTCGTTGCATGGTTGCTGCAAACACATATTATAGCAGAAAAATGGAAAATGGAGAATTATTTCCCCTGTCCATGGTTATTATATTCTGTAAGTACAAATTCTGTTTCTTGCTTCAGATGCAAGATATTTGCATCGATTGACAGTAGTAGCCTCGTAAAAGGTTACAACGATTGGATAAATGTATCTTGCATAGACGAGACTATGCAATATCCAGCATAGCTTTTATGTGCTGTAAAACAGCACACATAAGAAATTTCTTAATACGGAAAGAGCTTGAGACAAATTTGAAAACTAATACAATTGATTCCCAAACACAAGAGATGTATGAAAATGAAAATGAAAAAAAAAAAAAAAAAAAAAAAAAAAAAAAAAAGTTGGTCAAATGTATTAAGAAGACTGAGTAAGATCACAAAATTTCTTGGCAGCCAGAATTCAGCCTTTTGAGGCTCATCTAATGTGCTGTAACAGAAAGACAATGGAAAGTTCTTAAAATTAGTGGAATTGTTAACAAAGTTCGACCCAGTTATGGAATCTCAATATAGAAAGTATATTACGACCTAAAGGTAACAACAACAAAGTTAATTACATAAGCAAAGATAGTCAAAATGAAATGCTGCAAATTATTGGCAGTAGTATAAAAGATAAAATCTTACTATCTCTTTGAAAAGCCAAGTATTATTCTATAATTTTAGATTGTACTTCTGATATTAGCAAAACTGAACAGATAAGTGTTGTCATACGCTTGTTTGCTGCAGTGATGGAGTGGCCGAAACCAAGGGATACTTTATTTAAGTTGAAGATGCTACAGGTAATGGCCTATGTGAGACAGTAATGGAAATGCGGAACATTCCCCTTGATGATATGACAGGCCAGGGATATGACAATGGTGCAGATATGAAAGGGAAGAAATATGGTCTTAAATTAAGATCTTCAAAATAAATCTCGTTTGTTTTATATTCCTTGTGCCAGTCATAGCTTAAATTTAATGATTAACGATGCAGCAAAGGTGAATGCAGATACAGTTAGTTTTTTTCAACAATTCAAGAATTATACAATTTATTTTCTTCTTGTCCTAAGCAATGGGACGTTCTTTTGGAAAACATTTCCTGTTTAACCTTAAAAACCCCTCTCAAACACTCGATGGGACAGCAAATTTGAAGAAATTTGACCTTTAAGATATCCACTAAGAGAAATTTATGATGCTCTTTCTGAAATATCTGAAGGTGAATGCTTTTTTAAAAGAAGTGCAACATGAAGCACGAAATCTGTATGCCAAAATCAAGGATTATAAGTTTATTTGTTCCTTGATACTTTGGCATGATGTGCTTAACAGAATAAATCCTATCAGCAAACAATTGCAAGAAAAGGGTTTGAGTGTTACACTAGTTTTAAAGGCAATAAGTAACTTAAAAACACTGATAGAAGAATATAGAAGTATCATCAATTTCAAAAGTATTTTTAAGAAAGTGAAAGAACTTTGTGAAGAAGGGGATGGTGAGCCAGAGCCACTGGTGAGCCACTGTTGAAGCAGGCCGTCGAAGGAAAAAGAAATGGCACTTCGATTACAAACATACTGACGAATACCCTCAATCTCTAGAAGAGAAGTTTAGGGCAAATGTCTTTTAGAATTCTGGATATCGCTTTGGCATTCAATAAATGAAAGATTTGATGCAATGACACATCACTGTGATAATTTTAGTTTCCTTTATTCTATCAGAAATTGATAATGCAAATTTGAAAATAAAATGCAGTAAATTAGAAAAATTGTTACAGTGTGGTGAGAAAGATATTAATGCTGAAAAACTTTATGACGAAAAAGTAGCTTTGAAAGACATTTTTACAGCCAGTATGAATGACCCATTCAATATTCTAACCTCAATTGTGTCAAATAATTTGTTCTTCCCGAACTTGAAGATCATATTGAGAATACTACTTAGCAGTCCTATTGGTGTTAACAGTAGCAAAAGATCATTCTCTAAATTAAAATTGATCAAGACATATTTACGGTCAAGTATATCGCAGGAAAGACAAAGGAAACTATAAGATGTCTTCTAAGACATTTGTTGATTGCCGCTGAAAATGACAGTTGTCTACAGACAGATGCAAAAGAAACTATAGAAAAATTTGCAAATATAAAAAGCAGAAAAATAAATTGTTAAAAAAATTAACAAATGCTTTCTTCAAAACTTCTATCTCCTACACAAAAATTTAAAAAAGGGGGGGGGGACTTCAGCGATTTTGCAGGCGGGCGCCAGATAACCTTTGCCAGCACTGTGTGTAGTGTTTACTAACATAAGATCAGACAATTACTAACAACACTAGGTACAATCTGCCTGCACTATAACAATGGAAAATACCAACCATTAGAGTCCAAAGACAATTTAGCAATGTGTAACCATATTGATTGGCAATCATTTCATTCCACACAAACACACCAATCCTTATAGACAGATTACTAGCTAGAAGCGCAGTACCAATAGATACCTCACAAGACATATGTGCTCCAAAACAAAGGAAAAAGTGCTTTAATATTTTTAATATTGGCCTGAAATATTTATTTTGATTCAGTCCATGACTTAATTTTTATAAAATTTTTAAACTGATTTTTAGAGCACCTAAAGCTTTCAGACTAATGCCTAGTTTTTCACAATTTTTCCATCCTAAAAATGTAAATTAAAAATGTAAATTTCCATCCTAAAAATTTTAAAAAGTTATTCAAAAGCAAAATTTAACATGTTTCATAGACTTCCTATATTCACAACTAAAAATACTAACTTACTTGTGATAGAACAATCTGGCCATACCCATTCTTTGCTTTTCTCCACCAGAAAGTACATCTTTCCAATCCCTTTTTGTATCCCAACCTATAATAATGAAAACAAAAATGATTTTTTATAGAAAACACTGCACTGCTAGTTATATAGATGAGAAAATCATCTTTAATTTAAGACAGCATTAACCCCTTAACTGCCGCGGGCGTATATATACGCCTTGCTCAGCCGATGCGTTAACTGCCCCGGGCGTATATATACGTCCTTCCAAACTGCTATCATTTGCTTTGTGCTGCTACACCTAAAATTATTCGCAAAGTTAACGCATCGGCTGCGCATCTGGGGCAGTTAACGCATTGGCTGAGCAAGGCGTATATATACGCCCGCGGCAGTTAAGGGGTTAAAATTTAATTACTCTTACAATAAAAATAAAATTCTTTGCTTGAAAAGGTTTAATTATAGTAATGTTTCAGAAAGAATGAAAATGCTACTGCGAAATATTTCCCTACGACAAGACATTCACAGACAGAACTTGCAATCCTTCACCTCAGCCCTGAGAAACGTATTTAGATACACCAAAGGGAACAGCACAACATTGCAGCAAAGAGAGGAAGGAAATAAAATCAAAGTGCATATCATACAAATGACAGAATATTAATGTTAAAACTGGATCTGCTCATCATTATAGGGTATCTTCGAAAAAAGTGATGAAAAAAGGACAGTAGCTTGAAAGAACTAAATGTTTTAGCACATGTCTACTTGCAAGTCAATAATTGTATGTCAAGCAAAGTATAAGCAATACTCCAGCTCATTCCACACATTCAGAAGCATGACTAATGTGACCTATTGTTTCTATTACTTGACATGCAGGTAAAGTTAAATCTGCATCATTCTTTTTAGGAAACAAAATTTTTGGAACTCTCCTTCGCAAGTACTCAAACCACAATGATATCAGATATATATGCCATTCTTTTTCATCCCTTTTTTTATGAAAAACCTGCATATCTAAGGAAAAGCAGTATGTCCTGAAAGTTCAATTCTTTTTTAACATTAAACAGGTGGAAATACTGTTAAAGTATATAATCTATAAAGCATGTCAGATGTTACTATGAGCTGGCAAGAAACATGGTACATCTTAATTTGAGCATTTAAAATTAATTTTGCTGCAGAATTCAATACAAAGCAAATTTGACAGGTTACTTAAAATCAGGCAAAGAGTAATCTAAATTTTGGCATAAATTTCAAATAAAACTTTATAGATTGCAAGGTCAATCAAAAACAGGCCACTGTTCTTCAGAAGCAAAGAATTTTGCAGAACAGTGGCAGAACTGTTTTCTCCTGAAGAAGAGGGATCTGAATTTGATCACTTTCAAAATTAATAAAGTTTTATTCAAAATCTATGTCTAAATTTAGGTTGCTGTTTTGCCTATTTCAGGTTTTGTACTGCTATGTTTCTCTTCCTTTTTGAAACATGACAGTGTTTTAAACTTGCTCAGCCATGGCAGAAGAAATTCTTTTTATTTATACTTATATTTGTTGATACATGCCACTAGCAGCATCATGACAGTAATATAATAATATACTGCTCAAAAAATTACGGGATATTACGATTTTTGACATAAACTGTGGATGAGGAAATGATAACCGATACGATGTATAGGTGTTGTCGGAGATGAGGAAAGAAAAAGAAGCAACAGACAAGGAATAATTAAATTTTATTGACGCTATTTGTCAGTAAACAAAAATTGCACAATTTGTGTATATTATACAAACAAAAATATGATTTCTCGGATATAAATGTGTTTCAATAAAGGGCGTATTTTTTCCTGATCAAAAGCAATGTTGCACACCTCCGAGGCATGGAACAAATGAGGTTATCATTAATGGACTAGGGGTATTCGCTCCCACTCCTGTAGAAGACAGCTTTCAAACTGCTGAATTGTTTCTGGGGGTGATACATGACTAGCAACCCTTTTCAACAGAATGACCTAAACATGTTCTGTTGAGTTCATATCTTGGGAACATGATGGCCAATCCATTCCAAGGATTCCTTTGTTGAAAAGGAAGTTGCCCACTAGTTAAGCACAATATGGCCTGGCATTATTATGCATGAGATTTAATTCATCCCTGGCTGCTGCAGCGTAAAGGACCACAATAAGTCTGAGGATATCATCCCTACATTGCTCAGCATTCCTGATAATGCACAAGTCTGTGCGTCCACTGATAGAAACACTGGCCCCGCATCTGCCAAATTCGACACTTCCATGCACAAATGCAGGAGTGTTTCTCTCCAGATAAGAACTCACCTATTGTCAGGTCGTTCAAAAGGACTTGATCTGTGAAGAGCACATTGCTCCACTCCTCTCTTCCCAATCTAAGATGCTCGTGCACTCACATCTTACATGGGCAGCATGGTGGTCCTGTGAGAAAGAAACACAAACCATAGATCTGCAGCATACAAACCCACATGGTGCAGTCGGTTTTGAACATTTTGAGTAGAAACTCTGGTACTAGTAGACCAATAAACGTGTTATTGCAAGAAAATGGCTTTCACAGTGCGGTTTCTTTTAGCCAACAGAGTTCTGATTCTCATTTTGTGTTTTTGCAAGCGTACAACCTTGTCCAGATCTTTGGCAAACATTTCCGGCTTCCCCAAACTGTTCAATCTAAAACACACAGTTTTTGACATAAATTTGCATATTCCTAACTTTGTAAATGGTATAACTTTCCTTTTTAATTTTTGTTCAAAAAGTTGTCGATTATATGGTTATTAACTCACAATAGCCTCTAATTGTTTTGAGCAGTGTATTTAGTCGAATGCTACAATATTAAGTAAATGACTTTTCCCAGTACCTTCTGGCACAAAGAGCAATGAAATGATCAATGTACCAAGAAGTTTTGCATCTGCCTCACTATCAAAAGAAGAAATTATACTGAATAAAATAGCTTTTTTCCTTGTTAAAAGAACTCACATGCCTTTTCTTCAGCAGAATGACTTATTATGGAAGAGGCGAGGCTGTCTGTTTGCCTCGCAAAATACATAGCCTTTACAAAATCTATAGTATTAAAGTCAAATCATCAAATGGATATTAAATTTTGTCAGTTCAAATTTGATTACATAGCTTATACCTAATGTTATGTGATATACTTGATTATACATACTGGGTGACCCTAAAGCCCGTTAACATTTGAAAATTCAATAATTCAAGGAATAATGTACGTAGAAAGGCAAAACAATTATACACATACTTGAAATAACTAGGAGTTTTATTGAAAGCAAAAAAAAAGGGGGGGGAGGGAAGGGCCAACATATGGCAATGGGCAGCAAAATGTCAGTGATGCCGCATGAGAATCATGTATGAAATGAGCTGTAGTGACATATAGAATCAGTCTCTTTATGACTGTCACTTTTCTATCCTTGCTTCTGGGTGTTAGTAATGGTGTGATGTGGATTTATCATATCAACCGTGATCAGACCCTTTTTCTTTGAGGAAATTCGTGGTTCTGGTTGCTATTCAAACTCTTCAGTGTGATGGGTACAAAGTATGCTGATAAGTTACAGAATTGCATCATCCCTTGTTTGACTGATAAAAACCTGCTGGAAGATATGACATTTATGCAGGATGGCACTTTACCCAAAATTGCTACACATACACATTTCTCTCTTACACACATCGTTTGGTGAGGATCGCATGCTGAGCCGCCACTTCCGTCATGCTTGACCTCTCAGGTCTCCAGATCTAAATATGTGTGATTATTTATTACATGAAATCACAAGTCTACTGCAATTGTCCTACCTAATCAAGGGTGCTAAAAGACAAGATCTGATGGAAATTTCTCACCATACCTGCAGATATGCTGTACAGTGCTGTTCACAACATTGTCTCTCGACTACAGGTATTGTTGATGAATGACGGCTGACATGTTGAACTTTTGTTATAAAGAACATAGCCTTTGCTAAAAATCAATTATTATGCTAATTATTGCTTTGGTTATATGAAATGCCATGGGTTGGCCATTTTAAGCACTTTTTTTTTTGCTTTCAATAAAACCCCACAATATTTCAAGTATGTGGGTCAGTTTTCTACCTACTATACTTCCTTTTCATATTTCCTTTCAAATATACCTTTTCATATTTCCTTTCAAATATATCTTTTCAAACATTAATGGACTTTTGGGTCACCCTTGTACTTTAAAATTACATAGAACATGTTTTTCACAATAAATGGCTTTTAAGCTATAACCTCATGTCGATGGAATATTTAACCTAATGCCACAACATCTTTACAAATGAATTCACAACTACATGAAAAACAGAATGAATATTTTATACTGAAGCATTCCTTAGGAGAAATAAAACAAATAAATTGCTTCTAATAAATTCATGAATATAATACCAGCAATTTATAGGCAGTTAAATTGTTACATACACTGGTGTGCAAAATTTAAGGTTGGGATGGGTTTCTGAATTTCATATTATGTAGAAGTGTTCTGCATTGAACAAAACCAAAACCATATAATAAGATCTTCAAGATGTGAAAATACGGCACAAGTGACCAAAGCCACCCAAACAAGGGATAAAAAAGATAAAAGCCAATTTGTTGAAAAGAACTCAAGCACAACTGAAGAGAAGACAGAAATGTTCACATGACAAATGCCTACAAGAAAAATCAGTCTTAAGAAAGGTACATGATCTCCCAGTCTGCAAAGCAGAAAATACCATCTGTCCGTGCTGAGGACAAGGTTGTCAAGGAGCTGTTGACGCATCGTGGCCCATTCTTCTTGCTGCATGAATTTCAGCTGTAAAATTATTGCTGGCGGTTAGTCACATCCCACCAAGCATCTTCTGAGAAGGTCTCATGTGTTCTATGGGATTCAGGCTTGGGGATCTTGCAGATGAATCTGGTGCATTGAATATCTTCATTATTCAAGAGCTCTGTGACAGCCAGCTACTTTACAAGGTGTAACATTGTCATTCGTGAAGAGAGATTTCAGACCCAAGAGAACCTCGGTACAACAGCAGACACCAGTCACTGAAACTCTGTAAGAGATGTGGAAGTCAATACAGCTACCAAGCATACCACCTAAAATGAGAACTCCGGCATCTCCGAAATAGTTCCTTTTGATGAAGCTGGAGGGGTGACTGCACGCTCCCTTCTCTCTCTAGATGTGTACACATCTAGAATTTTTCATTAAACTAAACTGCTTCTTATTCATAGAGCACTCAACCTCACTCCTGTTATGTCCAGTTCTTGTGTTCCCGGCATCACAAAAACCAACATCTCCAATTAACAAACATTAATGGAACACACCATACTAGTGCTAATAGACCATATTTGTGCACCCTCCTGGCCATATTAAAATGTTATATTGGCCATTTAATAGTCAATTGCATTGTTTTGCAATATCTCCTACTGTTTGCCACCTGTCCCTTCTCGGCAACAGAACAACATACTGGTTGTCTACCACCACTGTCACTTGTGGAGACCACTGCTGAGCACCCAAACAGCTGTTCCTGCCATTTGAAAGGTTTTCCAGCCTTGTGAAACTATACTAGGCATGATCACAATCAAATTTCTCTATTGCACTTATCACACTTCGACCTTCTTCCAACTTCCCAATGACTACCACCTCAGGTAATCATCCTGATGATGTCTCCTGGATTGCCTGTTGGCTATATCAAACAGTAGTAGCAACTCAGTATCACTGAAATTACTTTACACTATGCAATAATTTCACTACACTAAGCATATACTGCTTGAATGTGACACCCCTTCCAATGCTCCTCCCACTAAACAATGTATCGCATATGTGGATGCCTATTGCATTAGTCCCAAATCTGTCAAATTTGCCTTTTAGTCAGGTTTGTTGCCTTGTTTTGCTTTTATGTTAATTTCTCCATGATGTCCTTAATTTTTTCACACCAGTGTATATATAACATTAAAACACCATTTTTATGTAGATATATAGATTAATATGATCAGACATTTCAACCAAAAGCTAGGCATTACGTACCTCCTTCACGGAACACTATATGTTGTAGATGGACTATGCCTAAAACTTTGAAAAGTTCATCATCAGTCACACCCTCAGCTGTCATTTCATCCAGGGTCTGAGGATAAATTACTTGATCGCGAAGTGTACCAAGAGACATGTAAGGCCTGTTAAAAAAATATCACCAAGCAATTAGAAACTTAAGGAATCTCAATAACATGAATAAAGATCACATGAATTTAATACCCAGACCAATTCAGGAATTAAAAACAAGTTGTTAAGCACATTGCTTGAGAATCATTTATAGGACCAATGGTATATAAAAAAATATACGAGGGCTGTAAATTAAGTAATGGCAACATAGGTAAATCAATTTTTAATGAACTTACAAGTACAATTGCATTACACTCCTTCTATGTAATCACCAGCAAAGCTTATAATCTTTTGCCAAATGTCCGGAAGCCATTGTAGACCAGTGGCAAGGTATTGTTCGTTGATGTTAGCGACCGAGCGCCCTACTGCGTGGAGTACAGATGAAACATCATGAAATCGGTGACTTTGGAGGGGTTCCTTCAACTTCGGAAACAGAAACAGTCACGAGAACTCATGTCGGGTGAGTAGGGAGGGTGTTCCAGGATTTCCCACTGCCACTGTTGCAAAAGGAGAGTGACATTGTTTGCAACATGGCAACGAGCGTTGTCATGCAATACGATAGAGAGATTGTTGTGCAATAAACGTGGACGTTTGCCTCGCATAGCCGGAGGCAGATGGTGCTGTAGAAATCGGCAATAGTAAGCTGCGTTGACAGTTTGTCCTTCAGGTAGAGCATGTGTAAGAATCACACCGTGCCAGTCGTATGCCATAATCATCATACCTTCACCCCACTGGGTTCCTGTTTAAATTTCTGTGGACGTGGCAAACTTTCGTGACGCTATTCATTTGATTGACGCTTTAATTCAGGCTCATAGGCTCGTGCCCATGTCTCATCAATGGTGACAATACGCTGCAGAAATGCGTCTCCTTCATTGCGGTTATCTCTCCAAGTAGGTGCCAGCCAGTGCATACCGGTGTCATTTCTGTACTTCGGTTAGTCAAGCAGCTAGAAGCAATTTTCCTCATGTTGAGAGATTTCTTCATTATGCTCCACACTGTTTGATGACTCAGACCAACCTCTTAGGATAATTCTCGGACAGTCCATTGGCAGTCTATGGTAAGGAGACTGCTCAGGATGTCAATCTGCTCTTGAGGAATGTGCGTTGCAAATCTGCAGTCTCATTCCAAGCTGAACGAAATTCTTGAAACCATCGTGCTACTATCCTATACGGTAAAGCATTTGTGCCACAGGCTTCCACTAATCCTCGATAGCATTCTGTTGCATTTTTGCCATTGCAATCTCGATTTCAAATCACGACCGCTGATCACCTTTTGTAAACATGCATTAGAGCGATGGAAATGAAACTCCTCACTTTAACGCCACACAGCAACTACCCTTCTAAGCAGATCAATTGTTTTTTGCACTCTACACATCGACAACAGCGCCACCTCACCGCTCCCATATCCTATTTGCACATGCCCGCCCTTCTGCGAGTTTCAAGGTTAAGTTGTCACTATTTAATTTAAAACCCCTGTATTATTGGTATCTGGCCAAAATTACTATTTTCCAACAACTGGCAGCACAATTTTTCTTTTTCTTCTCCCTTTTTGTTCCATTATAAGATTAAGGCATATTTTTGCAGCTTTTTCCATCAACACTGAGAAAGAGGAATTATAGAGACTTTATAATTACCATGAGAGAAGTAAATTTTGGTTTAGTACAGCAACAGTACAATCAGCCCTACTTCTCAATGTTAAATTTAGAGTAACAAATTTCTCCAATTGATGGAGAACAATGATGCTGGCTTCCTTAGTTAAAGAACTGCTCTGTTCAGCAGCTGAGAAAGCATTCTACCAAGAAGATAACTTTCTTATTGCCCAAGATATAGAATTTGTATAACAAACTCTTTAAAGCATGGGGACAAAAAGAATTCACTTGGACGTAATTAACTTATGTAAACAGAATGGATGTGAATATATTTCCTGCTCAAGATAACATGCACAATTTACAACCTGTGCACAATTTACAACCTTGTTAATACAGGAAAGAAGTACCTCAGGATGATTTGCAGTACTACTTGGACATGATGACATCTGGTAAAATTTTCATCTTAAAATGCACCAATCATGAGTTTTAAGGATAAATTGCGCTTTCAGAACAATAACTAGTATGCTTTCTCTGCCAACTCTGGAATTTAGTTGTAATGTAATGATGGATATATATATATATATATATTGTAATCATAGAGATATATATATATATATATATCCACGATGCCGAGACAATGTTCTCATGATATTCACGCAGATCTGAAAAATCAGAAACTGCATACCTGCAGCAAAATTTCTGAAATGGTGTGAGAAGTAGTGGCACCCATTGTACGGCAGCCTCTAACATCTGAACAAACTTATGTAGGTCGTTGCAAATGATGGCTTATACAGTCAAAAGTCGTTAATCCGGACTCGTCAGGACTTCGGCGATTCCGGATTATCGATTTTTCTGGATTATAAATCATCAGTTTAAATCTCGTAAGATGGCATGCAGAAATTCCAAAATTAAAAACATGAAACCTTAATTTATAAAATAAAGAACAATTATGATCTAAAGGGTATCAACATTTACAAAAAAAAAAAAAAAAAACTTAATATTTATTTGTTTACTTTATTAAACATTTCTTTCAATGTAATTTATTTAAGTTGCTTCGTTTTATGTGATAATACTTTCTCTTTAATTCTATAAACAGACATAATTTCTTGTTCAGTTACACAGTTCCGCAGTTCAAGTCCCGCAATTGCTGTGCCGAGAATACCGACTAACTTGTCAATCGAAATTTTTTCGTTTTCACTAACCTCTCTGTCACCTTCTTCATGTCTTTATCCATTTTTTGCAGCAATTCCACTTTTTGTTTGATGGACATCGAAACATACTTTCGTTTTGTAGATCCTTTGGGAGATCCAGCATCGGAAATTCTCTTTGACATTATCGAAAGTTAAAGTTTACTTTTATAACATTGCTCTTACAGTCTGCCAAAAATAATAAGCCAATTCAAAGATTAAGGAACAACGCAATCATCAACATTAACTGAAATTGTTGGAAAATATAGCTTATTTTTAAACCTTTTACTGCATCATCTCTCCTCCTTGAAATGTTTATTTAGTTTAGTCCTTATTTTAATATAATATAGTAGTTACTTCTACTTCTTTTCTTGAAGCCACTGTTTGCAATGAGAATGGACTGTTTCAACCTAATTGAGATGCAAAAACGAAACATTACGTCATCTGAAAAGCCGATTCGTGCCGATAGCTGATTGGTTGCCGTGAGATGACGTCATTCCTACTTCTGCTATAAGTATCTCGCGTCGCTCTGGCTCAACCCTTCTAGTTCCTGGTTTCCCGGCTGGTGAGTGAGCGGTTTCCAGCCCCTTCAAGGGATGCATGCAGTCCGGTGAAAGGATGCCTTGATTCCGGTTTGCGAGATGATGGTTCCAGATTGAAGTTCTTCGGTTCCGGGGGCTATCCTGTGAGTGACTGCCGTGGGCGGCGTCCATGTTTCTTTAATGAGGACGGAATTAAAAATACGTGAACGGCGATTCCTTGTGCAAACGGAGTTAGGCCGGTTTTAAGTGTTTTCACATTTAAATTTTCAGGTGTTTTCTTGACCATTGATTATGGACTTATTGAATGGGTAGCCAGCTTTATTTTTAGGCGCATAGTCACTATTTAGGACATTTCATTTTTTTTTTTTTTGTTTTTTGTTTGTATAGAATGCCAGTGTTTTGGAGACCAGGTAAAAATATTTGATGAATGATGATTATGTTATGTTTTTTCCTAAGACTCTAATATTGTTGACATTTTTTTTTGTGTTTTTATTCTTTATTATATTGTTAATAAATTGGTTAAGTTCAAAATCTTTATTGTCTTCAATGTCTGCACAACATATCTCAGGGAGCTTTCATTGCTACTTGCTACTACTGCTAAATGTTTAATTTCTTTAAACTTTAAACTTTGCTTTAGCATCATTTTGGTTATGGGCCACCAGCTCCTGAGTTATTTTTAGTGCAGACTTTTGAAGTTTAAAGTTAATTTAGGACTTAAGAGAGGGGGGGGGGGCGGTTTTTGTTAAAATTCAAATATGGCTACTGTTAGTGTCATGCATAATATTGCTAAACTTGATGCATGTAATTATTTTACATGGTCCAAAGATATGAAGTTTGTCTTGAATGAAAAAAATGCATGGCTTTTGGTCAAAGGTATTGAAAAATGTCCTGATTTAAGATGATGTTAAGGGTATTACAAAAGAAATTATTGCCGACTATCAAAATAGAAGTCGATTGGCATTATCGTTAATTTATATGAATGTAAGCCCTGAATATAGAAACTTGATATGTGAAATTGATGACCCGGTAGTGGCATGGAATACGCTTGCCAAATATTTCCAGCCAGATTATCGGTCAAGACATATGTCCCTGTTTTCAGAGTTCTTAAATTGCAAAATTAAGCCAAATGAAAGTATTAGTTTCTTTTCTTCTAGATTAAAACGCGTAACTGAACAGTTAGCTGATATTAATCAGGCTGTAAGAGACGTATATATATGTTTCCAGTTTCTTAGGTTCCTTCCAGATAAATTTGATCAAGTAGTTCAGAATATTTTGAGGTGGCCAGATGAAAAGTTCATTTTTAAAAATGTTGAACTTGAAATTCTAGCAGAGGAAACGCGTCTTAATTTAAGAGAGATAGATAGGGAAAACTCCAATAAGACTATAGAAGTTCAAAGTACTCACTGTGAACCCAAATTTAAGCAGATTAAAGGGCTCAAGTGTTATAAATGTGGCCGTCCAGGTCATATTCAAAAATACTGTAGAATGAGAGGTAATTTTTCCAGATCACCCTCACCTGCTTCTTCTGTTTCCTCAGCTGTATCTAGTAGTAATAAAACATCTTCTAAGTGTAAGAATAAACCCAAGTTGAGTAAAGTAAAAATAATTCCCATGCACAGTCCCATTTTATAGCTCAAGCCAATGTTAACAATTTGGAAGAAAATGATGATAGTTGGATTTTTGATACGGCTGCATCT